CTTGGCTCGCTAATGCTGAGATTATTTCTCAGTAGTGAGGCCCGATGGAGAAAGTAGCACAATGGAAATGTTACCACATCGAGAGGAGATTGAAATGGACAATTTTAGAATCAACCTAGTATGTTTTTACCTGTTTCTAATTAGCTGAGTTCTAAAGCACAGCATTTCATTCAGAAAGTGCATGCAATCTTTCCCTTTCATTTAACCATGAGTTCCTTTACAAACCCCAGCCCACTGGCCACAGACAATAGCCAAGACGTTCAGTCAGTTTACTGTTTAATACATATGGAAACCTACTTAGTTCACAACTCAGCCAAACTAAGCCCAGTCATTTCCCTCCTGTCTGGATGGTGGAACGACCGACAGACAGACAGACGGACAGACAGAGGGGACAGACAGACAGAGGGGACACAGACAGACAGAGAGGGGACAGACAGACAGAGAGGGGACAGAGAGGGGACAGACAGACAGAGGGGACAGACATACAGACAGACAGAGGGGACAGACATACAGACAGACAGAGGGGACAGACAGAGGGGACACAGACAGACAGAAGGGGGACAGACAGACAGAGAGGGGATAGACAGACAGAGAGGGGATAGACAGACAGAGGGGACAGACAGACAGACAGAGGGGACACAGACAGACAGACAGACAGAGGGGACACAGACAGACAGACAGACAGACAGAGAGGGGACAGACAGACAGAGAGGGGACAGACAGACAGAGAGGGGACAGACAGACAGAGAGGGGACAGACAGACAGAGAGGGGACAGACAGACAGAGAGGGGACAGACCGACAGAGAGGGGACAGACCGACAGAGAGGGGACAGAGGGGACAGACAGACAGACAGAGATGAAGTAGGCCAGGACATTGGGGGTCTCTGATCCCTTACCTTCTCCCAGAGTCCTCTTCAGCAGGTCGTGCTTGGCCTGCAGTTTGGAGATGAGATTGCTGCCCTCCAGAAACTCCCGGAATTTCTGTGGAGAATTCAGAGTAATTACTAGAGCTGATGAGCCAAGTGAGCGTTGCCTGCCCTTAAGACACCAATCTCTGATAAGGCAGCCAAGGGCAAAGGACACAACGACAAATAACGTTTTTTTAAAAGCTTTATATCCATCTTTAGACGGCCAGGAGGACAGAAGAACAAAGAGATATATTTTTGAAGAGCTTTGTGTCAGAGTTAAATTGCCCAGAGAGGGAATACATAAGATACGCAACATTATAAAGCTAAAAAAATTAATCACTAGAAAAACAAGCACAGTATGCACATATTTTTGTCACATGCTCTATTGCTAAGATACATTACAACTACTACCACACCACCATGGATCACAACGATCCAAAGTAGTCAAAATCCAATGTATTAATATTTCCATAGCAATTTCTATAGTGACTGTCAGTCTGAATTTAAAGTCAGCACAACTTACAGAACATTTATGTTGCTTTCTATTGCAAACATTTTGCTACATATTGCTACTGTGTTCAATGAATATGACCCTGCCCAGTTCTATACAGTCATAACTCAGAGGTTACCATTAGGGGGCGCTCTACTCACCATGAAGTAGAACTGCTCTGTCTCCTGCTGGTTGGCCCTCCGCTTGGCGATGCTGGGCTTGCTGAGGTAGGTCTCCGACACAGTGGATTTGACCGACTCGGTGGAGCGGCTATGGTGGAAACACTCGGACACGTCGTAGTCTTCGATGGTCACCATATCCTGGATGGTAGTCAGGGTGGCCTCCGACGTCTTCTTGATCTGGACAGAACACAAGAGAGGACCGCAACTTTACTACAGGTTTACAGTGCCACAGGTGTAAACACATTAAACTGTAGTTTGTTTTCCCTCAAGCACTCAATCAAGTACCCATTTCCGTTTGAAGGACCAGTGCCTAGTAACGACCACTGACCAAAGATCCAAGAGACAGAGTTTATGACCCCTAAACTATAGGCACTGGCTGAGGAGGGTACTTGAGTGAGTTGCAGAAGTTATGGAGAGATGGAGAGAGTTATTGTGTTACTACAATGCAGTTAGTCAATATGTTTTATCTAACTGTATATACCTACCAACACTACCCAATGGTAGCCAAGTCTGAGTGCTATCAGAGTACAGCATGGTTGGTACCACCATTGTAACCAATTGAAATAACTTATACCATGATCCCCCTCTTATCACTTTCTATCCCATGTGAAAGTAATGTGAGAAATTCATGGCTTTCTGACAGCCTCTCACGCAGCATGACAAATGCCTCAGTCCTTGAGCATGACTCCAGACCAGGGCAATCAATTTGCATGCACTCCGATAGAATAGAGCTGGAAGGAAGGAAGGTAGGGAGGAATGGAACTCAGTCCCAGACTTTTAATTCTTATTTCCATAACCGCCACTTCACTGTCAGCGAGTGCTTTTCCAAGAGCTTGTAAACGTCAGGGCTTGGCCAAGCATATCCCATCACTTACAACAGAGGGAGGACACCACAATGCAAGATTCCACTAGAGACTGACAGTAACCGTGACTAAGTCAAAAATATACTTATTTCCAGTTTGCGAACAAACTGTTCCCACCTTCAAAGTGTTCAAAAAGGTCTCACTCAGAGACGTTTTGGCCCCTGAAAATACTCCCATTTCACTGATGCCCTGATGTGATACATTTGGGGGAGAAGGATCGAAGGAGAGAGATGAAAGAGAGAGAGAGAGACTTAGAGAGTTAGGAGGTAGATAGACAGGATGGAAATGATGGTGTTGCATGCTGAGGGCTCACATGATGTCAGAGAGCATGTGTTCACCTGATGAAGTGGTTGAAAGATACCTGCCAGAACCCAAGACTGACTGTCGAGTGTGTCAGCGTGAGTCATTGACACAGAAAAGATGCAGAGAGAGCGAGGAGAGTGAGAGTGAAAGGGGGAGAGAGAGAAAGAAGGAGAGCAAGAGAGAGAGCAAGAGAGAGAGAGAGAGAGAGAAAGAAGGAGAGCGAGAGAGAGAGCAAGAGAGAGAGAGGCCAACTCGCACAGAACAGAAACAGCCTAACCACCATCTCTAGCAGAAAGCGCCACTCTGCATACAACACAGAACTCTGACAGGGAGGTTAAGGCGTGTGACCATCAAAGTCAGAAGGCATGTACCTCTGATAGGCGAGCTAGTAACTAGTCGAGCTGTGAGCGCTTGAATGAGAAATATCTCAAGGGGGGGTGGCTTGAATACGCCATTAATCTCAATCTCAAAGTCAGACTCGAGCATACCATAGTCAAAGGGAGTGTTCTTTCATTCAATAAATCATTAATGAAGACCATGACCTCTAATGGGAGAACAACATTGGTTCCACATGTAGCTACTATACACAGAGACAGGAACAGATTATAGCTTGTCTTTCTAATTGTCTGACCCATGACTCATTCAACCTTTGAAGCACCTGAGAAAAACAGGGTGGAATGAAGGAACCCAAGGCTCTCTTTCTTCAACTACCCTTTCATCTGTGTGTTGTTACGGTGACGGATCACATGACTGATTCTGCGTGTGCGCACACACACACACACACACACACACACACAGCGGCTGTAGTTCCACTGTCATTCGTTGCTATGTGGAGCAAAAAACAGAAATGACATCATGCCAAGAAAGCATGCCAAGTCACACTGTCATTCGTCGCTATGTTAAGCAAAAACCAGAAATGACACACCATGCCAAGAAAGAGAGGCCATCTGGTGAGCAGTGGTTCCCCGTCCTGACCTGTGTGGAGCATCCGTTTCATCCAGGCAGACAAGGGCATGCAGCACCATGGCTTTTCACGACCCTCCACACAGAGGGGTCCTGCCTGCACTGACTACATACAGCCAGTGTGAAAGCACCAGCTGGGCTTAGGCGTCAACAACAGCTCCCCGTCCAGAAATACATTCCACACCCAGTGTTATACCCTGAGCCTTGTAGCCCAGTATGAAACACACCACTCAAACCACAAACATACAGTACAGTACTAGACTACAACACTATAGGTCAGGACAGGGAGAATGACAGTGTACAAGAAGAAATGGAGGATTGGCAGGCGATTAAACTTAGACGTTTCAAATTAAAGACAACCTGAAAAGTTTGTTTGGTGATTTAGAACATCGCTACTATAGTACTACCTTCAATTACTAAAGAGAACTGGATCATTTGAAAGTTTCAGATGAGGAGTGATAATACTGAGTGGAATGAGGGTGCTTAAAATTCACTTCCTTTTGCTTGACAGGATTGATCAACATTCTGCTTTGATAGGACCCAAAAGACCTGGGTCTTCCTATTTTAGCACTCCTACTATGAGATGCCTTGTGAATACGGGTCTAGAGTTGCACTGTTTAGGACCAGCCCATGGGTTCCATCATCTCTGTGCCCTTGACACGGAAGTACCTTTCCTAACAAACTCCTGGGTAAGAGGTGAGCCCCCTCTTTCCCCAGCCTCTCCCGGGTGGGCCTGCGGAGGCCAAGGGGCCCAGCTGTCACAGTATGGAGAGGACCCACGCATGCGAGAGAATTGCTCCCAGCTACAAAGCTGTTGAAAGTCCCTCTATTATTCAGCAGACTACTAGTTACCAGTGTTGACTGCTATGCTCAATTACAGCAGGGCTTTTAGATAGAGACGCTCACTGGGATATGCCCATTGGTGCCCAGCAGGATTAGAGCAGGAGGCCTGGAGGTGATCCCGGTGGCTGCTGGGGCAGCCTGAGACTACAAGGCCATTAGGAGCAAGATATATGGAATATAGACATTTCTTATCACCTTGATTCTAGAACTACAGACCTTCTTGACATTTAGGGTCTGCATCTTCATGGTGTATTTGGCTTCTGAACTCTGGGGTTGAATATAATAATAATAATAATAAATGCCATTTAGCAGACACTTTTATCCAAAGCGACTTACAATCATGAGCATACATTTTATTTATATTTTTTATTTTGAACCCCCTTTTTCTACCCAACTTCGTGATATCCAATTGCGATACAATTACGATCTTGTCTCATCGCTGCAACTCCTCAACGGGCTCGGGAGAGGTGAAGGTCGATTCATGCGTCCTCCGAAACATGACCCGCCAAACCGCGCTTCTTAACACCCGCCCGCTTAACTCTAAGTCAGCCGCACACCATTGTGTCGGAGGAAACACTGTTCAACTGACGACTGAAGTGAGCCTGCAAGCGCCCGGCACGCCACAAGGAGTCGCTAGAGCGCGATGAGCCAAGTAAAGCCCCACCGGCCAAACCCTCCCCTAACCCGGACGATGCTGGGCCAATTGTGCGCCGCCCTATGGGACTCCCGGTCACGGCCGGTTGTGACACAGCCTGGGATCGAACCCGGGTCTGTAGTGACGCCTCAAGCACTGTGATGCAGTGCCTTAGACCGCTGCGCCACTCGGGAGGCCCCTGAGAGCATACATTTTACGTATGGGTGGTCCCGGGGATCGAACCCACTACCCTAGCATTACAAGCGCCATGCTCTACCAACTGAGCTACAAAGGACCATGGTCAGCCTGACAAGTGACTTCACAACTACCACATCTCCTTGTCTGGCGAGTAGCAGGACTTCTATCCATCAGGGCCTGTGGTGAGTAGCAGGACTTCTATCCATCAGGGCCTGTGGTGAGTAGCAGGACTTCTATCCATCAGGGCCTGTGGTGAGTAGCAGGACTTCTATCCATCAGGGCCTGTGGTGAGTAGCAGGACTTCTATCCATCAGGGCCTGTGGTGAGTAGCAGGACTTCTATCCATCAGGGCCTGTGGTGAGTAGCAGGACTTCTATCCATCAGGGCCTGTGGTGAGTAGCAGGACTTCTATCCATCAGGGCCTGTGGTAAGTAGCAGGATCAGTGAGTCAGGGCTGCGGCTGGCCAACACTAAGTTAACACTGAACACACATCTCCCAGGCTTTGATGTGCCACCCTGAGGTTTATCTGTGGAAAAACAAACACTGGCTCCCTACAAAGGAGACCGTATGGGATTGCCAGGGTTTGTGCAAAACGCCTGGAGAATATCCATTAAGTTCAGTACACATCTAGCGAGAGAGAGAGAGAGAGGAGAAAAGCGACGCCATCTGTATCTGTCTAAAGCGGTGTTTCATCCAAATATCAGATGCAAAAGGAATTTATATGACTGGATTAATAGCTACAGTGAGGGAAAAAAGTATTTGATCCCCTGCTGATTTTGTACGTTTGCCCACCGACAAAGACATGATCAGTCTATAATTTTAATGGTAGGTTTATTTGAACAGTGAGACAGAATAACAACAAAATAATGTCAAAAATGTTATACATTGATTTGCATTTTAATGAGGGAAATAAGTATTTGACCCCTCTGCAAAACATGACTTAGTACTTGGTGGCAAAACCCTTGTTGGCAATCACAGAGGTCAGACGTTTCTTGTAGTTGGCCACCAGGTTTGCACACATCTCAGGAGGGATTTTGTTCCACTCCTCTTTGCAGATCTTCTCCAAGTCATTAAGGTTTCGAGGCTGTCGTTTGGCAACTCGAACCTTCAGCTCCCTCCACAGATTTTCTATGGGATTAAGGTCTGGAGACTGGCTAGGCCACTCCAGGGACTTAATGTGCTTCTTCTTGAGCCACTCCTTTGTTGCCTTGGCTGTGTGTTTTGGGTCATTGTCATGCTGGAATACCCATCCACGACCCATTTTCAATGCCCTGGCTGAGGGAAGGAGGTTCTCACCCAAGATTTGACGGTACATGGCCTGTCCATTGTCCCTTTGATGCGGTGAAGTTGTCCTGTCCCCTTAGCAGAAAAACACCCCCAAAGCATAATTTTTCCACCTCCATGTTTGACGGTGGGGATGGTGTTCTTGGGGTCATAGGCAGCATTCCTCCTCCTCCAAACACGGCGAGTTGAGTTGATGCCAAAGAGCTAGATTTTGGTCTCATCTGACCACAACACTTTCACCCAGTTCTCCTCTGAATCATTCAGATGTTCATTGGCAAACTTCAGACGGACCTGTATCTGTGCTTTCTGGAGCAGGGGGACCTTGCGGGCGCTGCAGGATTTCAGTCCTTCACGGCGTAGTGTGTTACCAATTGTTTTCTTGGTGACTATGGTCCCAGCTGCATTGAGATCATTGACAAGATCCTCCCGTGTAGTTCTGGGTTGATTCCTCACCGTTCTCATGATCATTGCAACTCCACAAGGTGAGATCTTGCATGGAGCCCCAGGCCGAGGGAGATTGACAGTCTTTTGTGTTTCTTCTGTTGTCACCTTCTCACCAAGCTGCTTGGCAATGGTCTTGTAGCCCATTCCAGCCTTGTGTAGGTCTACAATCTTGTCCCTGACATCCTTGGAGAGCTCTTTGGTCTTGGCCATGGTGGAGAGTTTGGAATCTGATTAATTGATTGCTTCTGTGGACAGGTGTATTTTATAGAGGTAACAAGCTGAGATTAGGAGCACTCCCTTTAAGAGTGTGCTCCTAATCTCAGCTCGTTACCTGTATAAAAGACACCTGGGAGCCAGAAATCTTTCTGATTGAGAGGGGGTCAAATACTTATTTCCTTCATTAAAATGCAAATCAATTTATAACATTTTTGACATGCGTTTTTCTGGATTTGTTGTTATTCTGTCTCTCACTGTTCAAATAAACCTACCATTAAAATTATAGACTGATCATTTCTTTGTCAGTGGGCAAACGTACAACATCAGCAGGGGATCAAATACTTTTTTCCCTCACTGTAGCTCTGAGAAATACCCACGTTGAATGGCGAAGGAACTGTAATGAACACAACTCTGTCCTCTGAGAGAAGTAGAGGTTTAACCAACACAGCAGAACATATTCCATAATTTCTGCAAAAATGTCTGCATATATACACCCAGACCAGACCGGAGAACCACAATGGGCCATCCCATGGTGAGTAGCTTCCAGAGGCTTCCTTCTCTGATGTTAATAAATCATTTTATCCATGTTTTCTTTCTCCCGTTCATGGAGTCAAGGGTCGAGGAAACAGCTGCATGTCAACTGATACCAGAAAACAAAAACAAATTCCAGCTTTTCACTTCCTGGCTGGAACAGATCTTGGTCAGTCAAATCCTTGCCTCCTCTGTCCTAGTTTCCTCAATTCCTATCAAAGCGTATTGGAGGAGAGGATCCAAGGTCCCTCCCTCAGACCTCCTCCAATGAGCTTGGATAGCTATTGAGAAAACAAGGACGGATGAAGCAAGGATTTGACAGCTTGGAACGTTTGAAACAGCCAATGTGTGTACAGTTCTGCTTCAGTGTCTTGACAGCCCCTGGAAAGGCCTTTTCAATTACAAACCATGCCAAGAAAGAGAGGCCCTCTGGTGGGCTGGACACAGAGCAGTGGTTCCCCATCCTGACCTGCGTGGGACATTCATTTCATCCAGGCAGACAAGGGCATGTAGCACTATGGTTTTTCACGACACTCCACACAGAGGGGTCCTGCCTGCACTGACTACATACAGCCAGTGTGAAAGCACCAGCTGGGCTTAGGCGTCAACAACAGCTCCCCGTCCAGAAATACATTACACACCCAGTATGATAGCCTGAGCCTTGTAGCCCAGTATGAAACACACCACTCAAACCACAAACATACAGTCCTAGACTACAATGTAAAGGTAAAAAAGATACTGAGATCTTGCAGACATTTCATGCATCATCTGACAAAAACGCATATCTATAAACTTCATTTAGTTGTATAATCAAACCAGTCTGAAATCTCTTGAAGCAGCGGAAGCTGACTGACACATTGACAAGCATTCATTCCTAAGTCCTTCTTTCTTTGTGATATAAAAGAGAGAAGGCTGTGTGCACGGATGTGAGACGAGACGAGGGAGTGGAGATAGCATGTCAGATGTGAGACACAAGAAGCCAGACTGATGGACGTGATTGCACTCCCTAACACCGCAGCAGCAGACATACACAGTCATTTCCTTCCAGTTGGCTTTTTACTTAGCAAGCACTCAGGCATGCCAGCCAGCCCGAGTCCGATTAAAATGTTACAGCCGGGGATGTATCGCCAATGTCAAAACCGAGAGGTGGGGGGACAGAGTGTGCAAATAGAATATATATCGTGTCTGTGTGTGTGTGTGAGAGAGAGTGAGAGAGAGACAGTGATTTTTTCCACCATTGGGAGCGAGGGAGACGACCTCTCTGTGTGGTTCTGAAGGCTGCCTGCAGGGTAGGAGAGGTTTTTGTTGTATGGTAATTATTCCAACTTCGATTTCTAAATGATTTAAGCCATCAACTCTCCTTGGCTGACTTCTGACTTAAGTTAACTTTTCATACAGCATTTTAATTCCTTCCCAACATGCGACCACAATGGACCCAAACAGTTGTGTTCATTAAGCTCCAAATATTTTTTTTTTAAAAGGACTAAAACAGGGAGGACTGAACTTGAACTTAAGGACTAATTGGTCCAATAACCAACACTCATTTGCGTTTTCCTATTTCTTTTGCGTTTTCCACTTTTTCTGTTGCATGGCCGACTAAATAGGACTAAGGTATGTCAGAGCTCGGCTCCCTCTTACCTCCTCGTTCTCAATGTTCAAAGTGGCCAGGCGGGACTGTAGCTGCTGGAACCTCAGCATTAGCTCTCCGTTCACCGGAGGCTGCATCGCGATCTGACACACCTGGACAAGAAGAGGAAATGCATCATCACTGAACAGGAAGTCACTTCATCACCGCCGTCAGACAGAGGGCTCATTTAATCTTTAACCTAAAAATAAAATCAGTTTAAACTACGCCACAAACCACAATGGTGTCCACTGACCCATATCTGAATCCAGACAGCTGCAGAACAATAGTTTGTAAACAGACATGATATCAGGGAACCCAGAGCCAACGACTCCACAGTAAATTAAAATATATTCTACTCAACTTAAGGCTGAGAAATGAGGCATGCTTGTCATTGGCTTCGGCCTATAAAAACCTGCTCTGCCGGCTTAGACACAGTAAAGTTATGCAATTAAGCCGGCAAAACCAGGGCTCATTTAGTACAAGACATTTTAATCAAATTAAATTCCACACTGTACAGCATTATAGGACTGAACACATTGGTTCTCGTAAACAAACTGAGGTCTTTCAACCATTTGGACAAAGCACTAACTTTCACTACAATAATGGATGAATGAATGATTAGATGGATAGACAAATGAACTCCGTGTCTCACCTCGTCGCCCATGTGGGGCTGGAACTCAAACTTGATGGGCGGGCAGAAGGCAGTGGGGTACAACTCCATGAAGCGCTGGCGGTCGCTGCGGGGGTCCAGGCTGTCCACTGCGTTCTCGATGATGTCCAGGCCCTCGTGGCGACTCGTCTCCAGGTTGTACTCCGCTGACAGGTAGGTCCTCAGGGCCCGGTTGAGGCTGGCGTGGTAGCCCAGATCACAGCACTGGTAGAGGGGAAGAGGAGACTATATTTGGATCAGGATGTCCCATTTACTCCATCTTCTGACAAACTGATAGTAAGCCATATAGAACGTTGCAGGCACTAAAATGTTAGGTCCAAACACATTCAGCAGACTGCCCTAAAACATGAAATGTTATCCAGCAAATACACATACACTGAGTGTACAAAACATTAGGAACACATTCCTAATATTTTGTTCACCCCCTTTTGCCCTCAGAATAGCCGCAATTCGTCGGGGCATGGACTACAAGTTGTCAAAAGCGTTCCACAGGGATTATGGCCCATGTTGACTACAATGCTTTCCACAGTTGTGTCAAGATGTCTGGATGTCCTTTGGTTGGTATACCATTCTTGATAAACACGGGAAATGGTTGAGCGTGAAAAACCCAGCAGCGTTGTAGTTCTTGACACACTCAAACCGGTGCGCCTGACACCTACTACCATACCCCGTTCAAAGGCACTGCAGTATTTTGTCTTGCCCATTCACCCTCTGAACGGCACACATACACAATCCATGTCTCAATTGTCTCAAGGCTTAAAAATCCTTCTTTAACCAGTCTCCTCCCCTTCATCTACAATGATTGAAGTGAATTTAACAGGTGACATCAATAAGGGAACATAGCTTTCACCTGGATTCACCTGGTCAGTGTCATGGAAAGAGCAGGTGTTCCAGTGTGTTTATGGAAAAACCAACAACTTTGTAAGTTTCAACAAAGTCGACAATGTATCTCTTAGTAATAATCTCTTAATGTAATTTCTTAGTCTTTCCACACACTGCAGTCATTAACATTATTGGCCGTTAAGAGGGTAGTCTGATACTTTCTCTGACAGCTGCCTTGGCCCTGAGTCATAGAACCTGAATACTGTTTCCAACATGAATAGTTTCTCCAGCATCTGACACTGGATCTCATTAACTAGGACATCGGTTAGCCAGGGTGTGAGTTCACACGGACAGCCTTGGAGGCTGATGGAAGACACCCAGACTCAGAAGCACTGTGTCATGCAAGCTAACCGCCCAGTTTATCTAGCCTACATCACATTGGATCATGATAGGTCAAATTCATCAACTCCAATTTTTTTTGAAACCCTGTCCTGTCACCTCCGAGACAGATCACATGACATACCGAAACAAGAGTGTGTGTACACACACAAATAAAGCAGGCTGAAGGCAATTTTAGCATCCAGCATGGCAGCATGGAGGCTAGGTCGAAAATATATAAGTTAGGACACAAGGATTCTAATATAAAATATCTAATATAAAGTCTATGCATAAATGTGGTAGAAATCTAAACAATTGGACTAGCAATGCAAGCAAATGACTGGAAGTGAATGTTAGCAGTACAGAAAGTTCGCCATGAAAGTGGATAATAAACACAATCGTAATGAATGTCAGCTAACTACTCTGCAAGCACATAGCATACCTGTTTTACTGTCAAAACATGTCACATGTTCTACTACAGCCACGTTATTACTTGGTGTCCTGACCACTGGTCACGTTTTCAATGCTAATCCTGTAGAATCAGCAACGCTGGTCCAATGAATTTGTTTATTTTCGAACACTGCCGCATGGAATTATTACGTTGTCCTAACCTCTATATTTTCGACCTAGCATGGAGGTCACATTTCTCACAGATCCCCTTCCTCACCGTCTGTCTGGAATACACAATCGCTAAAAGTACCCAGCGTTCTCCTGTGTTGTCCTGCCAACTCCAGAGAAATGGTACAGTACATTTATTTCTAAGAGGGAAAAATGATATCCCAGGTAGGCCAGTGTATAAATAAGTAATGTTTATAGGTCTGGATTCTGGAGGAGAAAACAATGCAATCTGCTGGGTAGATAGAGTACATAGTACGGAGTACTGAGTACAGAGTGGTGATATGAGGGATGGGACGGCTGACCTACAACATACACCAGTAATTGTCAAAAACTGTGTTTCTGGGCCAGGGCCTTTTCCCACACCCCATTCAAGCTAAAGATGCGATAAAGTGTGCGTGTGTGTCTGTCTGTCTGTCATGCAGTACTGTGTATAACATGGTAGAATAGAATAGTAGAATAGCTTGAATCACAAGAGCTACTAATCTACTGGGCTTTTTAATTCTCTTCCTTCAGTCATTTCCATCCCACAGTTTGTTTGGTGTGTGTCTTCACCATCGCTCATATTTCAGCTCTCCTGCTAAACTCATCCATTTCTTTCTACAGACCCAGATATATTAGGTCTCAAAAGGACCTAAAAAAATACTGCTGAATGGCAGGGTTTCTTCAACATTATGAGGATAGAAAAAGAGCGTAATACAATTTACCTTAGCAGGGAGATGCGTTTTTTAAAAACATACTGTATGATTGGATGTGCAGACAGTTTCATTTGAAGTGTGGGGAATGGAAGAGACTTAGACTGAGAAGCAGCTCTCTGTTTGTGGCAGAGAGAATCTCTCTCTGTTTTGGAGTAATGTATACATTCCCTCAGATATTTAGGAATGTATGAGTGAACGTCATTAATCATGTTAAGAAGGGATATGTCTGAAATGGCACCCTATTCCCTACATAGTGCACTACCTTTGACCAGAGCCAATAGGGCTCGGGTCAAAAGTAGTGCACTATGTAGGGAATAGGGTGCCGTTTTGGATGCAACCAAGGGCTTATTAACAAGAGAAGAGGGAGTAGAGACGCTGTTCAGTAACACTTTCTCATTTGGCCTTGACACTCAAACTTTCCCAGTTTTACGGTGCAGATAAATGAGTGTCTGTCTGTTCTTTAGCTTGAAGTTTCTCCCAACTAAAAATATGTCATGCTGTTTACTTACATCAATTAAGTCGGACAAGTCGTGGATGTAGTACTTGAAGACGGAGGAATTTGTCGCCTCCAGTGTCAGCAGGTACTCGTTTCGTGCTTTGATTGACTTCAGCTTATTCTCAGAGTACTTGGCCTGGCGCTGATGAGACAGAGCGACAGAGAGAGAGAGAGAAAGAGATGAAAAGAGAGAGGAAGAGTAGGCGAGAGAGACAGATGAAGAGAGAGAGACAGATGAAGAGAGAGAGAGACAGATGAAGAGAGAGACAGATGAAGAGAGTGAAATGGGGAGAGAGAGGGAGAAAGGGAGGGAGAGAAATTAATGATCGAAAAAGCCTTTATTGACAGCGGAGCGTGCTTTCATGTCTGTATGCACACTGTATGGCGGCTCTCACACAACACAACTCAGGATGACTGACAAACAGGAGCTGGCGTAGATAGACAACAGTGGAGTGGAGGGCAAATAACAGCTACTACGGCAACAACAACAAAAATAACGAAAACATAAGAATGGGGGGAAAATACTGACTGGGCATAAACTATGCATGTTTACAAAACTAATTGATCTAAGATTAGCCACTTCCCAGCCCAGCCACGCTCATTCAGACTTACTCTTCCTCCACAACTGCCTGACAGACGAACAGAGTGAGCGTTAGTTAGTCACCAGCCAATGACCAATGAACACTGACTCACATACTGACACGGTCTTCCATATTTTAACACTTCCCGAAACACCACGCTTTCCAGGAGCATGTGAAAAAATGCTGTTCCCGTGGCCATTAAACCATTGGTCACGGAGCACTAACAGAAAACAGGCCTGTTCCTTCTGAGAAAAACACAAAGCAATCAGGCTGTAAGTGACAGTGCTCACAGTGTGGTTTCCATCACAAACACGGGAGACATACACACACTCACACACAGGACAGCGGGGTTGTTTGATACAAAATGGAGGTCTGGCTGGCTGGTAGAGGTCTTTTTCTGTTACAAATGATGAACATTTTCAGGGACAACTGGATGTCAACGTAAGTTCCTTAAAGTTGGGGCCATACAAAGTGAATGTATGGAGAGGGTGACCATAGAAATATACACTGTGAGCGTGACTAATCACAGCTGGCTAACTGTGTTTAATGAGAAGACATTCCAACATTCCCTTTAGCAACCATCATCATCATTATCATCCCAATACTCATTTTCTCACACTATTGTGCCGCCCCAAACCATACTGTGTTGGCTCTGATTCTTTTTACCTTGTCCTTTCTAGCACGGTTCCAGCAACTATGATGGATGCGTAACCAGGTCAGCCCAGAACAGCTTGGCCTGGCCCATTAGTGTGAATCAGCCATAAGTGTGCTGTACCTTTTCCCTCATCTTCTCGATCTTCTTCACGGAGCTGCGTCTCTGGTGCTTGTCCTCCAGGCGGATGCTGAAGACGGGCTCGGCCCGGCCGATCTGCTTCTCCTCCTGCTTCTCCGCCTCTTTCAGCTTGCTCTCGGCGCTGATGCTCTCCGTGTGGTACATGTGGTAGGTCTTCATCACCTGGGGGTTGGAAGAAGAGGTCAGGGGTAAAGGGTCAGTCATTCAACCTCACAAGAAGAGTGAGAGGCTGCTTTGAACCAAACAAAGCTTTCATCTACTACCCACCCACTCTTCACAGACCGATTCAGCTCTACTTCACAGTAGGACTTTCCTACTTCACCACCACAAATCAAAGGCAGTTTGCCTCGCTCTCTTTTTATATGAGGCTCTTATGCAGTACGAACTCAACAACCACGATTCACTGCCGTTCCCATTTACCATATTGCCCTGCATTTGAAATTCCATCTACAGAGAATTACATATACACTTAGCAGTTTGCTGGAATTACCACCACTGTTTTATACGGGATGCAATTCCATCTGATGCGTGTAGGATATGCTATAGCTCTGTAATGGGTCACCGAGGGACTTTAATCCACCCACAGACACCCAATCATCCCTGGCTGCCGTAGCCCAAGACGGAGTGCAGTCAGCAGGGTGCCAGCAGGCAGGCAGGCAGGGCCCATGTCAGATCAGGTGGTTACAGACAAACAAAACCACATACACAACAACCCTGTTCTCTCCCCTTTGAAGCAATGATCCCTCAGAGTTAACATACAATTCCTGATGCCTGGAGTTTCAAAAGACACCAACTTCTATATATGGCTTGGCATGAGGTATTACGCAGACCTGGGTTCAAATGTGTATTTGGCGCATGTGACAAATAAAAACTTGATTTGAAATACTATTTGAAATCATTTGAAATCCTTTAGCTGTGCTTGATTGAGCTTCCCTGTTGAAAGGAATCCAATAGAACAGTCCCTAAAAGTGCAAGCCCTGCCCACCTGGCACTCCCGGCAGGCTAAAGCAAACAGATTCAGTTTTTGAACTCAGATCTTGTGATACACTACATTTTAAGTGGGTATGCTCCCCTTGTCAACGCGTCAGAACCATAATTGAGGAAGAGTGATCAGAGGTCATTGACAGTATGGACAGCAGGATGGGGGAGGTACTGACAGAAGGAGCTGGGGAGAGGCAAATACCTTAGCCTGGCTTTCACTGTAACCCCGTTGGGTCTGAGAGAATCAGTCCCCTTCCCCTGCTGGGGCAGGCCAGCCCTAGCCTGAGTCCTAGATCTGTTTGTACGGTCTTGCCAACTCCTTTGCTGTCAGTAGAAGGGCTAGCCTGAGTCCCAGATTTGTTTGTGCTGTCTTGCCAACAGACAATGACAACAAGTTGGCAAGACAGCACAAACATAACTGGGACACAGGCTAGCCCTGCTCGTGCCATCCCCTGCCAAGGCTGTCCTTAAACCCACTACTGACGCAAGACCAGCCACTGAAAATAAAGTCACCCCGAAGCATATGGAACAAAGGTGATCCCGCGGCTTAACCCAGTAAATTACGGCATACAGTAAATTACAGTTACGGCGTCCGTATACATTATAATCGGTCTGCATAACCTCAATCGGAATCAAAATGTAGACCTAAAATCTAAACATCTCCGCTCCACCCCCCAAAATACAATATATTTTTGTAACGGGTGGACAGACTTTGCCCTGCTTGTTTTGTGTTGGTGGCAAGAGCCACGTAATTGGAACCAGTGGAGCGAGAGGGGCGAACAACCACAGGCCATACTGCTGACTTCCTGGTCTGGAGCCCTGGTGCGTTTACTTTAAAGGGACAGATTTAGAACGACTGGGACCAAACCTGTTATTTCACAGGCGCTGGCCACACAGGCCCCCGTGGCTGTCTGATGCAATAGTCTTTCTCTCTCCCTCTGTGTGTGTTTTTCTGCACCATGGAGTAAATCAGGTCAAATTGGACTGCAGCGAGAGAGACGGTGACACGCTTTGAGCTGTGGTCGTTTCACATGTCATAGATGATTGTAAGTATAACGTAACGTAATTTTTGTTCGTAACCGAAGACTTACGCTACAGGGAAATTGAACCCCTGCTGAATATCTCCCGGGACAACAGAGTAACTGTTCCCACATCTGTTGCTTGGGTTTTACCATAATAATCAATGCTGTAATCATAACATGATACAGGTAACTGTCAAAATAAAGGAAACACCAACATAGTGGCAGTGTCCAAATACCCATACTAGCGTACTACATACTTAAACTTCATACTTTTTACTCATCGTCGCATACTATTTAGCACGTACCGTTTAGTAAAAAGTATGCTGTATGCCACGGCCGCAACACAGTAGCGGCTCCTGATTGGCTGAGTAACTGGGGCGGGGCCGCGTGCAGGTGTGTTTTTCCAAATTAAACAGACATGCATCGCATTAACCAGCCTGCACTCGGCCCCGCCCCAGTTACTCAGCCGCTACTGTGTTGCGGCCGTGGCATACAGCACATTTCTGTTATATGCCTACTCAGGCTGGTTATAGGCAGACTATCACATTCAATCTATACCGTAGATGACCATATAGCCCATTTAGACTATTTAAAAAGGACTGAAGACAGAAAGAGATCATTTGGTTCCATTTCAACATTTCAACATGCTGTAACATATATACATTAAATCAAATAGCCTAGTACACACACCAAAACTCTTCAAATGTATTGCACAGAAAAAACGTGGACAGTCGAGTGCATCGCAAATTCAGAACCGCTGGACAGCAACATAATAAAACTAAAGCACTGATCATTGGGAACGAGATCAGAATGACGGCTTGATCCATAAATTAAATCATGAAATAGGTAGCCTACCCTACAAAACTAAAACAATCCATTTGTTCAAATCAAAAGTCCTGATTAACATGACATCAATAACATAGCCACATCCCGAGTCCCCGGTGCCGACACATTCAGAAATCAAAAGATGGTTTAGTATTTAGTTTAAAAGCTCTGATGAAGACCAAGAGGAGACCAAGAGAACAATAAACACTTTTCAGTGAGAAAACAGAAATCCCCCAAAAATGTAATTTTAAATACTTCTGTTTTCAAAGATGTAGCCTACGATGCAATACTCATGATCATTTTAAGAACTAAAACTACTTAGCCTACATTTGAACACCACCGCAGAAATTTCAGGCATCTTCCCAATGAAGTAGCCTAGTGTTGTTTGGTTGGCTACTTGAAGAGAACTAGGGCCTATCACTCGCAGCCCACCTCTTCCAATGCATTGTGGAAAAGTGTGCATCGAATTCTACTAGATGAAGAGCCTAAATTAGTATTACATCTAGTGGAAAGCCTTCCCAGAATAGTGGAGGCTGTTATAGCAGCAAAGGGGGGAACAACTCCATATTAATGGCCATGATTTTGGAATGAGATATTCGACGAGCCATGTAGTGTATTTCGTGCCACCCATTCTGAAACTGACTGCAGCTCTTTGTTAAGTGTTGCAGTGATTTCACTCGCTGTAGTAGCTGACGTGTATAATGTTGAGTCATCCGCATACATAGACACACAGGCTTTACTCAGAGCCAGTGGCAGGTCATTAGTAAAGATTGAAAATAAATAAGGGGCCTAAACAGCTGCCCTAGGGAATGCCTGATTCTACATGGATCATGTTGGAGGCTACCATTAAAAAACACCCTCTGTGTTCTGTTAGACAGGTAACTCTTAATCCATAATATAGCAGGGGGTGTAAAGCCATAACATATACATTTTTCCAGCAGCATACTATGATCGGTAATGTCAAAATCCGCACTGAAGTCCAACAAAACAGCTCTCACAATCGTTTGATTATTTTCCATCTAGCTAGTTGGTCATCTACATGTTGCTAGCTATACATTTAGTTATATGTCTGTCATATTGAGGTATCTAGCTATAAGTTAACCTTGATCAATCAAATGGATAGGTGCAAGCAATTATATTAATTCCTACTGCCCTTAACTAGGTGTCTTCGCTAGACAGTCAGACACAGACAGAGAGAGAGAGAGAGAGAGAGAGAGAGGAAGAAAGTCAGAATGAAAGTGATAGAGGGAGAGAGAGGTGGGAAGAGAGTGAAAGAGTGAAAGAGAGAGAGAGAAAAAAAGACAGCAGTGCAAATTTACTTAGACTTGAGTATTTCAACAACTCTTGTCTTCCAACTTGTTAAGCAATCACATGTACCTAAGGGGGAAGGATGGCCAGCCACACAGGAGGGTGATTTTCACTAAAGAGGAGAAGGGGGCCGTGCTGACAGAGATGCATGCTGGCCATTTCGGAGTGAAGCGCATGATTGCCAAAATCAACCTACGCTTCTTCTTGTGTGGGACTGTCAAGGATGTGGACAGCTGGGCAAGTGAAATAACCTTTTGTTTATCAATCACATTCTATTATATCTGAAATTATTATGATTTCCATGAATGTCATATCAGAGAGCACACAATGTATCAATTTTTCACTTTGTGCTTAAAGGTCATTCGGGCGAATTACTTCATTTGGAAGAATGACAAAATGAAGGCGAGACCTATGAAACCTCGCTCCTCTTTCGCTCCTAGCTGGGGTCACCACCAGTTAAGGTGAATATAAAATGTCAGATAATAACTATTTGCATTTGCTCACAAAATAACATGTAGCTAGTTTTAGTTTCCCTAACACTAATATTTTTCTCTTTCTCTTCCTAGGGTTACCTCTGTGGAAGCCAACAATATTCTCCAGTTGGACGGTCAACCACTGAAAGCACTGACGCCCTACACTTCAGTGAAGCCCATGAGACAGTATGTCAAGGCTAACCACAGGGTCACGCTAAGTAACCTCCGCTGCCAGGTAGATACTATTAAGGTGTATGACTCCAGTGGTCATGACACCACCCCAAACTCACAGCTCTCTTATCTTTTCCAGGGACCATCCCTTACCTCCCTCATAAACCCCGCTGACGTAAAGAAATTACAGACAGGTATCCTTTCTTTCTTTTCTGTCTGGCATTAACATTATTGCATGTCTAATCGAACATTTAATTTAAATTAAATAAATCTGTATAAATGTATTTTTACATACCTGATCTACCTGTAACCTGCGTTTGCTTGTTTACATCTCTGTCTCCTCCCAGGTCCCCTTTAACTCTGCTTCTGTTCTCCAGGACCTAGGGGTTCTGCCCAACACCCAGACGTCGATCCACCTGATGTC